CTCGGGCCAGGGAGGGCCTTGGCGGGGCTTCCTCGCACTCCCGCCGGCCTTGCAGGTCCACCGCCGGGCCCCTCATGGAGCTCAGCAGTGGAGCTGCAAGGCCGGCGGCAGCGGCCAGGACCGTTGGGGACGGGGTGTGTGGCTTTATGACACACGTCCGGTGATGTCAGGGGGTGTGGCATATGCTAATGAGTTATGCTAATGAGTCCCCCTAGCTCTTTTTCTACGAAACGATCCCTGCCCACCCCCATCAGGAGGCTGCAACCCTATACATCTCCCACAGCAGGCAGAGGGCAGTGAGGCACCGTGGGGGGGGGGCAAAAGTTTAGGCTACTGAAAGAGCAACACCATGACAGAACCACACACACACATCCCCCCCCCACCCCACACGCCTCTTTCTGGTTTTGCCACGGCATGATGAGCAGCGCCCACTTGCTCGCCAACCTCTTTCAGCCTCTGCTGTCAAGTTACGCGTTGCCAACTCTCTTCCCCCCCTCCCATTATTGTCACAAAGAGGGAGGCTGAGATGAGAATCTGAGAAAGTGGCGAGGAGGAGAGAAAGGAGATGGATGCGGAGGAGCGGCCTTTAGGGAGGGCCCCTTCCAGAGGCTTCGCAACCCACCTTTGGGCGCCTGAGCTCCCTCTAAGCTGAGTGAGTGTGAGCTAGCTCACCATTTTTTAACCTCCGGCTCGCAGATTTTTGTCTCTGCTCAGGAAGGCGGGCTCCAGAGGAAACTAATCTATGCAGCAGCCAAGTCGCTCGCTCACGACTTTAATGCCGGTAGCTCACAAAGCAGGATTTTTGCTCAGAAGACTCCACAGCTTAGAGGGAGCATTACAGTTTGGGAAAGACTGGTGGTGTGGACCTGAGAGAAGTGAGTTCAAATCCCCACTCAGCCATGAAGTCCCTCTCTCTCTCTTGCTCTCGCTCTCTCTGACCCACCTCACAAGGTGGTTGTTGGAAGAGCAGAATGGGGAAGGGTAGAACTATCAGTGCCGCGCTGAGCTGTTTGCGGGGCTAGAAATAGCGAGTGTGCTCTTGAGAAAGGGGGAACCTCTCCGTTTACTTTACGCCACCCCTCTTCCCGCCCCTTCCCTCACAGGTCCAGAGCCAGGACCTTTCATTCTTCAAGGACCTTTACATCGGAATCGATTCGTCCTTCCTGATCCGACCCACGACGGGAGCCCATCATGGAACGTACGCCTGTGAGATCTGGATGGAAGATGACGTGCTGGTCAGAAAGTTCATTTTCCTCAACGGTGAGACCCCGAGGCCTTTTCAGAGGATGAGGAAGGAGCCTGCAGATAATTACTCAGTGGGTCGCCAACCTCCAGGGAGTGGCTGGAGATCTCCTGGGATTACCACTGATCTCCAGGCAACAGGGATCGGTTCACCTGGAGAAAGCGGCCGCTTTGGGAGATGGACTGTATGCCACTATACCTCCTTGAAGTCCCTCCCCTCCCGAAACCCTGCCCCCCTCAGGCTCCACCCCCCAAAATCTCGAGGTATTTCCCGACCCCCAGCTGACAAATGCATTCTTCAGAGAGGCCTAGGCTTGAAGGCAAAACACGGTTCTATGGATCCAGTTTCAATCTCACCCTTCCACCCAGGAGTTCCAGGCAGTGTGCATCACTCTAGCGCCCCGTTTTGTCTTCCCAACAACCCTGTGAGGTAGGCTAGGCCAAGAAACAGCGACCCGCCAAGGACCCCCGGTGAGCTTTATGGCTGAGTGAATCAAACCCAGGTCCCCGCCTGACATTCTAGGCGCGTGCAGGGTTTTTTTTTGGCATTTATTTATTCCTATCCCACCTTTCTCCCTAATCTGGACTCAAAGCGGATTTGCGAGTTTCGTCCTCTCCTCCTCCGTTTCCCCACAACAACAGCCCTGTGAGGTGGGCCAGGCTGAGAGTTTGCGACAGGCCCGAGGTCACCCAGTGAACATCCATGGCATAAATGGAGATTCGAACTGGTCCTGGGTTGCCACTCTATCCACCCCTGGCCACCAGCAAGGGGTGTGTGTGGTGTGTGTGTGTGTGTAGGATTGCCAGATCCAGGCTGAGAAACTCCAGGAGATTTGGGGGATGGATCCTGGGAAGGACAGGGACCTCAGTGGGGCACAATGCCACAGAGTCTGCCCTCCAAAGCATCCATTTCCTGCCCCCCCAGGGGAACTGGACTCTGTAGTCTGGAGATGGGCTGTGATTCCGGGGGATCCCCAGGTCCCACCTGGAGGCTGGCATCCCTACTATCCACGACACCACTCTGGCTATACCACACTGCTTCGAAGCAGCATGGCTGCCTTCACCCCACCCAGGTTTCCTCCTGCTGCAATTGATCTCCAGACGCAAGAGGTCAGTTCCCCTGGAGAAAACGGCTACTTTGGAGAGGGGACTTTATGGCACTGTGCCCTGCGGAGGTCCCTCCCCTTCCCAAACCCCAACCTGCCTACGTTCCGTCCACCCACCCCAAATCCCCGGGTGTTTCCCTCTCCAGAGTTGGCAGCCCTAGCCCCACACTCCCACCCAGAAGAATGCTTGGTGTTTCTGCTGTTGTTGTTCAGTCGCACAGTCGAGTCCGACTCTTCGCGACCCCATGGACCAGGTCACGCCAGGCCTTCCTGTCTTCCGCCATCCTCTGAAGTTGGCTCAATTTCATGTTCGTTGCATCTATGACACTGTCTAACCACCTCATCCTTTGCCGTCCCCGTCTTCTTTGACCTTCAGTCTTTCCCAGCATCAGGGTATTCTCCAGTGAGTGCTCCCTTCTCCTTTGGTGGCCAAAGTATTGGAGCTTCAGTTTCATTATCTGGCCTTCCAGGGAACAGTCCGGGTTGATTTCTTTTAGGATTGACTGATTTGATCTTCTTGCAGTCCAAGGGGCTCTCAAGAGTCTTCTCCAGCACCATAGTTCAAAAGAATCTATTCTTCGGCGCTCGGCCTTCTTTATAGTCCAACTCTCGCAGCCATACATGACTACTGGGAACACCATTGCTTTGACCATGCAGGAGTTTCTGTACTCCTTCCAAATACATTATTGTGTTGCAGTCCTTATAACAACCCTGTAAGGTAGGTCAGAACGATTGTTCCCCGTATTGCAGACGGTGAGAAGAGCGCGGTATCGTGGCTAGTGTGTCAGATGAACCATCGGAGAGATCCGGGTTCAAATCCCGGCTCAGGAACCTCACTGGGCACCTGCCAGGCTAGTAGCCACTCTCTTTCAATCCAACCGGAACACAGGAAGCTGTTTAAGGGCTGACAGGTCTATCCTGGCCACCAATGGGGGATGGTGATGCCTGCAGGGTTGCCTGATCCAGGTTGGGCAACTCCTGGAGATTTGGGGATGGAGCCTGGGGAGGACAGGGACCTCAGTGGGGCACAAGGCCATAGAGAGTCCACCCTCCAAGGCATCCATTTTCTCCAGGGGAACTGATCTCTGTAGTCTGGAGATGAGCTTTAATTCTGGGGTGTCTCCGGGTCCCACTGGGGATCGAACCCGTGACCTTCTGCCTGCAAAGCGGAGTTCCCTGTGTCCACCGCGGTCATTAAGCCAGCCATACCCTTCCTGCTGTCTCATATATAGATCAAAACAATCACCCTCCAAAGCATCCATTTTCTCCAGGGGAACTGATCTCTGTAGTGTGGAAGTGAGCTTTAATTCTGGGGGGTCTCCAGGTCCCACCTGGAGGCTGGCATCCCTAAATCCTGAGTCAGACCGGCACTCTATCAAAGTGAGTCTTGTCTACTCTGAGCAGCAGGGGCTCTCCAGGGTCTCGGGTGAAGGTCTTTCATATCACCTCCTACCTGATCCTTTGAAGGGGAGACACTGGGGATCGAACCCGTGACCTTCTGCCTGCAAAGCGGAGTTCCCTGTGTCCACCGCGGTCATTAAGCCAGCCATACCCTTCCTGCTCCCTCATATATAGATCACAACAATCTTAGCATTACCACAGGCAGGGCTCTTTTTGTAGAAAAAGCCCAGCAGGAACTCATTAGCATAATAGGCCACACCCAACAACGGGAACTCATTAGCATATTGGGCCACACCCCTGACAGCACAGCTCATTAGCATATTAGGCCACACCCCACATGTTACCAGAAGTGTGGTCATCCAACCACACCCACCTTTTGTTTCTTATTCTGTTTACTTTGTTGCCAAAACCCAGGGCTTTTTTTGTTGCAGGAACTTCTTTGCATGTTAGGCCACACACACCCTAATGTAGCCGATCGTAATGAGTGTCTGCTGTTAGGTGTGGCCTATTATGCTCATGAGTTCCTGCTGGGCGTGGCCAACTTGGGAGCCAGCCGGAACTCCGTTCCTGTGCGTTCCTGCCCAAAAATAGCCCTGGTCTCAGGTGAAGGTCTTTCATATCACCTCCTACCTGATCCTTTGAAGGGGATACACTGCGGATCGAACCCGTGACCTTCTGCCTGCAAAGCGGAGTTCCCCGTGTCCACCGCGGTCATTAAGCCAGCCATACCCTTCCTGCTGTCTTTGTCTCATATATAGATCACAACAATCTTAGCATTGCCACAGGGCTTCTGAGCAGGCCCCTCAGCCTTTTAGACAGCAGAGGCAGAAAACGGGTGCCCCGTTCCCCAAGAGCGCGCTCTGGGGCTGCCAACCTCCAGGTGTGATCTGGTGACATCCCGGAATTACAAGTGATCTCCAGACTAGTTCCGCTGGAGAAGGCGGCTGCTTTGGAGGGTGGGGTCGGTGGCACCATCCCCTGCTGAGGTCCCTCTCCTCCCCAGGCACCATCCCCAAAACCTCCAGGAATTTCCCAACCCAGAGTTGGCATTCCCGTGCTGAACGGCAAAGGAAAGTTTTTTTGTGGAGGGGGGAGGATGGCTCGACCCACTCAGAGGATCCTGTGGGATGGAGATCTGTAGAGTTGGGAAGTACCTGGGGATTTGGGGGGTGGAGCCTGGAGAGGGCGGGGTTTTGGGAGGGGAGGGGCCTCAGCGAGGTACAGAGCCACAGAGTCCACCTTCCACAGCAGCCATTTCCTCCAGGGGAGCTGATCTCTGTCGCCCGGAAATCAGCTCCGGCCACCCCCTCACCACGGCCTCTGTCCCTCCCTGCTGCAGTGACGGTGAAGCGGCTGGGGAAGGAGAAGGAACTGCAGGCCATGTTCCACGACATCCTGAACCCCCCGCCAGGGGTGGCGGCGGCCGAGGTGGTGCAGCAAAGCTCTTCCCTGGAAGACTGGCTGCGGGAACCCGACTCCCTGCACAAGACCAGCGTCCTCCTTGTCTTCCTGGGGGTGGTCCTGAGCTCCATGCTGGTGACCCTCCTGCTCATGTGAGTGTCCAGAGGGCATCCACCGAGGAGAGCGAGGGCAGAAGGCCGCCGGGCACCCTCCCTGCCTACGGGGCCCGGATCCAGCCCTCGCTGAGAATTTCCCTCTGAGTAACATTTGTAGTGAATTTTAAAACCCCAAAAAAACATTCCATTCCTGCAAGCTGTCGTTGCGCTCTCTCTCTCTCTCTCTCGCTCTCTCTCTCTCTCTCTCTCTCTCTCTCTCCTCT